AGGCTCCTCATCCTTGAGACGCCAGCCCAAATGCCACGTCCTCGCAGAGACATTCCCTCCCCCCACCTCTCCCAGGTAAAGCGGGACCCTCCATGGTCTCTCTGTCACTCAGAACTTTCTGTTCCTCTTCCTTCACGCCCCCTGCCAGCCTCTCAGAGCTTGTGTTTTCGTGTGCTTCTCATTTAATCTCTGTCTCCCCCATAGCCTGGATTCGCCATGCAAATGAGAACTGCAGTCTCTCCCCTCACAGTCCCCCACACCCGGCCCAGGACCGGACATAAAAGTAGACACTTGATAAGTATTTGTGGAACAAATGAGTCTTTCATCTCGTCCTCATCAGACCCCATTCCCAGGCTTGCTTTCATCTCTGGCCTTTGCCTGAGCTGCTTCCTCTGCCTGGAAGGTTCTTTCCTTTCCCTCCTACCTAGGCTGATCCACACGTCACTTAAGACTGATCTCCCCAGGATCTGTCCTTGACCTCCTCATTTGAATCAGGGTTTCCCTCTGGGCCCCTTCGTGCCCTAGGCAGGGCTCTCTCTCCTGACACTCTAAAAGTGCAAATCGCCAGCTCAACACGATTTTAACAATAATGATCTTGCTCGCCCCTCTCTCTAGGCCCCCTCCCCAGCAACTGGCCCGAAGGCACCCACTTTCTGCCTTTCAAACCATCAGGAACCCTATTTCCCATTCATTCGCTAAGGGCTGCTCAGTGCCCACTGTCCTGTTCTCTTTCCGGCAGCCCTGCAGAGGGAGGGACGGGAGAGAAGCCACACAGATAGGATTCTTCCAGGGGCCAGGCAGAAGCAGTGAGGCATCCGAGGTGGCAAGCAAATACCCGGTCAGCCCCCATCCAGGGTACAAGGAGGCATGGGAGAGGCTGGGGGCGGAGGGCAAGACCACTGAGGTCAGTTCTGCCCCCTTCACTGAGCACCGACTGTATGCAGGGCACGTGGGGGGGCAGTACACAGAGATGGGCCTGGATGGCAGACGTGTCCCGGACGTCACCTCCGGTCCAGCTGTTACTGTGCTTGGCACACAGAGTTGACTGTGTCTGTGGTCTGTCCTCCCACTCTAGAAGCCGTTGGAGGGGCAGAGTTGGGCACAGTTGCCAGAGGTATCTCAGTCAAAGTCAGGGGTCACTTTTGTCTCTCCTTCCAGCTCTTTCTGCTGCTTGGTGCTGTGGCCTGACATCCCTCCTCCCACATTTGTCAAATCACCTCCGCCAGCACCACCTGGGTGGGTGCAGCGCCTTATGAAATGCACAGTCCTGGGCTCCCAGCTACAGACTGAGGCTCCTTGGGCTGGGAACCTAGAATCTGTGTGCTGGGCACCGTGCCCGCTCTGCCTGGCACACTCACGCATGAGAGCCCCGCTGCCCCTGCTGCCTCCAGGGGGTTCTTTTCCATCACCTCCCCCTCCAGCCAGGGTGCCCAGGGTTCCGCCACCCGTGCCTGCCACTCCTCTGGCACCCTCCGCCCCTCCAGCACTCCAGGCTAGACTTTCTCCGCCCTTGAGTGGCCAACAGCCAAAGTTGACCCGCCACGCTCACCCAGACCCCGCCCTCCTCCCCCCAGCTGTGCCACCCACCTCACCGGTCAGCCAGCCAGAAAACTGAGTGCCACCCTTGGCTCCGTTTCCCCTCCCTGCCTCACCTCAGCCACACCCAAATCCTCATCCTCTGCCTCCTCAAGATGGCTTCTGCCTCCCCTCCCCCAGCCCAAACCATGGCATGTGTCTCCTAACTGGTTCCCCCCTCTCCCTCCCTCCAGTCTCCCTTTCCAGTGAATTCTCCAAAAGCTTTTAAAATGCAAATCTGACTATTATCACCAGCCCCCTTAAAACCCTTCAAAGATTCCTCTCTGACAAGGGTCCCAACCCCTTGACTTGACATCAGCTGGTCCCAGCCTCCCTACATCTCCTCCCCTGTGTGCTCCGGGCACAGCAAACGGCTTCCAGTTCCAGTTCTGGCCTCCAGACTTTTGATCACTCAGTGCCCCCTGCCAGGAATGGGCTGACCCTTCCTCACAACGTGGGCATCTCCTCCTCCAGGAAGTCCTCTCTGACCCTCCCCGCCCCTGGCCCCAGGTTGCTTGGTGCATCCCTAATGCCATTCAAGGATCTGTTATTCACTCACCACACTGAGTTATAATTATCGATTTTCCTGTCTCTGTTCCACACGAGCTGACGAGGTGCTTGAGGGCAGGGACAGGGTCCCATTCATCTCTATCCCAGCCCCTGGCCCGGCGCCTGGCCCAGAGGGCAGGCTCTGCCAGGGGCAGGAGAGATGTGGAAGGGAAATGGAAGTTGAGAGCCGGCGGGGCCTAAGGGGCGCGAGGGCAAGTCTGGACAAGGGAGCAGCCGGAGCGGCTGTGTGGGACGTGGGAGCAGGCCCCTCCATGCCGCCCTCCTACGGCTCTGTTTGCACATTTTGTCTCCTCGCGTTCTTGCAAAAACTGATCAGGGAACGGGCATCAGAGACCAGAGTAGCCAGCCCAAGGTCACACAGCCAGTTCTGGAGGGGAGTCGAGGACTGTCTGGCCCCAGAGCCTGTGCTCCACTGCTGGGCCACACTGCTCTCCTAGGGCAGGACCTTCTGGAAACCGACGGGGAGTGGGCCAGCTCCGCCTCTGCCTAGCCAAGCGCCGGAACCAGCTGCCCACACGCAGGCCAGCAGCGTCTCCCTCCCAGACGGACCAGAGGCTCAGAGGCCAGGCAAAGATTTACCCGTTCGCTTCTCCTTGGCTGGGGAGGGGGGTCTTTGGCTGGACATGCGCCCCACCACCACCACCACAGGAAAGAGCTGCTGCGTATTGGTGTGGCCCAGGGTGCCTGGAGACGCAGGGGGCTCTGTGACGCTGGCTGGGTTCTGCAGTCTGTCTCCCTCATCGCACTTGGCCCAGGCTGATATTAAGATTCATCTGCATTCCCCGCGCACCCGCCTGGCAGATGGTGGGGGAGGAGGCTGGGTGCGTGCTGGGGTTGCAGCCAGGGACCGAGCGGGCCTCGGAGGGCCACAGAGTAGAGCACCCACCCACCGGGCCCCACGTGCCCAGCCCGGGCTGGGGCCACTCCAGACGTTGGGGTGAATCCTCACGCTCTCAGCCTCCAAGGTGCTAGGACTTGACCTTTTATTTTTCTACAGATTGGGGGGGCTGGAATTTTAGGGGGAGCCCTGGAGACACGGAGTGGGGATGATAGAGGATGGACCCCCACCTCTGGGAATCTCAGATCAGGGTCTTGGTCTCTCTTCTTGCCCTGGAGATCTGCAGAGACCAGACATAACCAGGGACCCCACTGGGATGGGACCCCCTCTCCGCTGGTGACCCCCTGTGTCACAAGGAGGGTAAGCAGTGAAGAACAAGGGGCCAGCCTCCAGGAAAGCCTTGCCCACCTAACTAACTGCCCAGCTTCTCAGGAGTCTTACCCCCGGCCCCCAGCCCCAGAATCTAGCCGGGCTCCTACCGACTTTTTCAGCCAAGGTTCCCAGCCAAATGTTTTCTGTCACAGTGATGGGACTGAGAAGGTCCGGGGATTACCCCAGTCCCTCCGAGTAAAGTAGAAGAGGAAAGGAATGGGCATGCTAACAAAGGAATGCAAGCCAGACACCTAGAAGAACTTCCCTCAGTCCAGAAGCAAGTCTTGCAGAGAGAGTGGACTTGCAGCTGGGGGCACAGGCTACAGTTAGGAAGATGACCTGGCTCCGGCTCTCAGGATGGGCTTGGGAAAGAGCGGTCTCTCCCAATTCCAGGACTTCCGAGGCTGGGGGCGGGGCAGCAGCCGCTCAGGTCCCTGCGAGGGACAGGCGCCCGGCCAGCGCCCCGGCCAAGCCCCTCCGTCCGCCCCTCCGGAGTCCCTC